GGTCTCTTTGGGTTCCTCTTGATTGGGACTCTCTGTGTTTCCTGGATTTGTGTGCCTTTTTCTCTCGTCAAATTAGGGAAGTTCTCCTTCATTACTTTTTCAACTAGGTTTTCGATCCCTTGCTCTTCTTCTTCTCCTTCTGGTATCCCTATTATACGGATATTATTACGTTTCATATTGTCTTGCATTTCTCTTAATCCCTCTTCATTCTTTCTGAGCCTCTTTTCCTTTTCTTGCTCTTTCTGGATGCTGTTTTCTACTTTGTCCTCCAGCTCGCTAATCAGGTCTTCTGCTTCATCAATCCTGCTTTTCATTCCTTCTACTGTGTTCTTCAGTTCAGAAATTGTATTCTTCATTTCCTCTTGACCTTTGTTGAGAGTTTCTATTTCCTTTTTCATGTTTATATAGTTTGCAGTGAGATTGATGTAGTTTCCCTCTAATTTCTGAAAGCTCATTGTGAGTTCATTGAACTTCCTGGTAATCATTGTTTTGAACTCACTATCTGATAGTTGAGTTGCCTCTATTTCATTTAGCATTTTTACTGAGGCTTCCTCATTTCCCTTCAGTTGGGGGTTGTTTCTTTGTTTTCTTATTGTTCGTGGGTTTCTTCTTTTTTCTTCTTGTTTGTTAATTTGAACTGTTCTGATTCCCTGTAATTATGGTGTGAACTTCCGTGGTAGAATATTTGTGTGTTTCAGTGGTGCAATCTCCTTCGTGTATCCTGGTGTTCACAGCTTCCCCCTACTCTTTTTTTGGGATCATTTGGAGGAGTAAGGCAAAATGGTTTAAAACAGCAAGACAGTATACTATGATATTTACTTTAGCAGCCAGTAGAGAAGAGATGGGTTATCCTTTGGCTCCTTATAGTGTTAACCGTTATCCTCTACCCCACTATCCATGTTTTAGAAAGGATGGAAAGAAGGTAAGACTCTTATTGGGGCCGAGAGGATTGTTAGTTGAATCTAGAAAGCTGTGAGGCTGTGGGAGGTCAGCTTCTAAGGTAGGGTTGGACTAAAGATTAGTATATAGGAGTAGTGAGTAAAAGAATAGAGACAACCCCCACAATAGTATATTTCAGAAAATTGCAAAGTGGGCTGAGATCAGGTAGGGGTATTGAGAAGCATTTACAATTGTATAGACTAGGTCTTACTAGCAGTAATAGTAAAGTGACAGTCTTGTGGCAGAATCGATGAGGTCTAGATAACAAGAATAAAGAGTATAGAACCTTGAGAGGTGTATTAATGGAACACAGATGAAGGATAGTAACTTATCAACACCTTGTGACTCAGATACCAGGGGGAACCTATCAAATGACAGTATAACCAGCCAAGCAAAGGAGGTTATACAGAAAGAAAAAGAATACCCAAATATTATTAAAATAAAAAATGTCGGGAAAGTGAGAAAAAGATAATACAAGTTTACAGTAACTTGTAAGATTAAAAAAAAGGAAGGAAAAGCAGAAGATGTAGTGCAGGAGAGATAAATTTGGAGTGGAAAGAATAATATTAGGTTGAATGGAAGAGAAACATAAGGGATTGCGAGATAAAAATAATAAGAATTGGGAAAAAAATGTCACATAAAACACAAGATAAAATCAATCAACCAACAGCCAGAGAAACCAAACAAAACCAAACAAAACCAAAACAAACAAACAAACCAAAACCAAAACCAAAACAAAACAAAACAAAAAACAAAAAACAAACAAACAAAAAAGCCTCTTCTTCATTTCTAACTGGCCAGACCAATTTTTCTGATCTTGCTGGCTTCAGCTGGCTGAGGGGCCTTTGAAATGCTTCTCTGTCTCCCAGCCAGATCTCAGCAAGTGTGTCAGGTACCCTGAGTGCTCCCGAACACACTGGTGCGCGAGAGTCAGTCTTCCCGACAACGGTGCGCGAGCCCAGCCGTTTCCAGCTCTGTGTTCCCCGCCGAACCGCCCTCCGACTGGGTGTGTTGGCGCCTTTCCCAGCTTTCTCGGTTGGGCTGGCTGGAAATCTCTGAGCCACCACTGCAAGAATGCACCCAGTACCACATCCCTCCCAGGATCGCAGTGCGTGATTCCGGCCTCCCTAGGGGGCAGGAGCCGAGCCCGGCCCGCTTGTACTCTCCACCAATCTGCACTTCCATGGGCTAGAGATGCCCCTGGTCCTGTCGGCTGGAGGCTCTCACTTCTCCCCGTCTCTGGGCGGGTGTTCATATTCCCTGGGCAATTTTTTCTCAGTCCAACTGGCCAACCTGTTCCTTCTAGCAACCCGTTCTCCCCTGGAGTTGCTCACCCCCGTATTCGGGGGAGGGAGGGAGCAGCGGCTTCCCTCTCCTGGGAGCCCTGGGGCAGAGCCCGGAGCACCGGGTGGGCCTGGGGTCTGCGCACCCCCAGACCCCGTGCTGATCCCTGGGCCCCTTTTGTCCTGTATCAGACTCCTTACCGTCTGGATTTCCAGTGAGTGCAATAATTTCTGATGTCCTGCTTTCAAAAGTGATTTGGCAACCCAGCCCACTTGCTCTGCCTCTCCACCGATCCGCGAGTTTTCCCCCTCTTCACAGAGGCCGAGAAAAACGCTGCCTAGAGTAAAGCCGCCATCTTCCCTCCTATTTTCTTTTATTTTTTAAGAGTTTGTTTATTGAATGCTCTTGTTATTGTTTATTTTTGGTCATTATAGTTGTCCCCATTTTGCCTCCATTACTCTCCCTCTGCCCAACCCACCCTCACCTCCCACATTCAATTCTCCCCCTCACCTGGTTATCTTGGTCCATGGGTCCTTTGCCCATGTTCCTTAAAGACCCTTTCTATTCTTCCCCCTGTTACACCCCACTCCTGTTTCATCTGGTTACTCTCAGTTTATTCTTCACTTCCTTGTCTCTGGTTCTAATTAGCATACTTGCTTGTTTTGTTGACCAGATTCCACTTATAGGTGAGATCATATGGTGTTTGTCTTTCACCGCCTGTCTTATTTCACTTAGCATACTATTCTCCAGTTCCATCCATGTTGTAGCAAAGTGTAGGATTTTATTCCTTCTTTCTTTCTACTGTGTAGTATTCCATTGTAATTTTACCATTTTTTTTTTACTTTTTCATTTTTATTTGTTTTCCTTTTTTACCTTATTTCCTTTTTAACTTTTTTTACATTCACTTACTTATGGGCATTTAGGCTCTATCCAGCACTTGCCTATTTTAAATTGTGCTACTATAATTATTGGGATGCATAGGTTCTTTTGGATTGGTGTTTCAGGATTCTTGGTTTGGCGTTTCAGGATTCCCAGCAGTGGAATTGCTGGGTCAAAAGGCAGTTCCATTTTTAGTTTTCTGAGGAAATTCCATACTGTTTTCCACAGTGGCTTCACTAGGCTGCATTCCGACCACCAGTGCACTAGGGTTCCCTTTTCTCCACAACCTCACCAGCACTTTCTGTTTGTTGATTTGGTTACAAAGGCCATTCTGACCAGTGTGAAGTGGTATCTCATTGTGGTCTTAATTTGCATCTCTCTGAATATTTTAAATTTTTAATTTTAAAATAACCACATACTATAACAGACTGATTTCAGAGTATAGTTCTATAAATTTTGATTTTAATATGTTGTGTAGATTATGTAAGCATCACATGATCAACATTGGGAATAGTTTCATTGCTAACAATATTGTCTTTCACTGTCCTTTTGTAATCACACACTCCCCTATTTCACATTAGTCTCTTCTTTTATGTTTTAACCTTTTTTGGAATGTCATATTAATGGAACAATAGAATACATAATCTTTTGAGATGTCAGTTGTGTGGACTGAAAGAGTGCATGCCTGAGCCCCATCTCTTCCACCACTGGCAGTTTTTTCTATGCTTGGTGGTTTGAACTTTTGAGTATTTTATACACATAATTCATTATTTCAAATATTTGTGTTATTATTGATGATTCACGCTAGCAATATTAATAAGGATTTATTCATTTTGGAGCTTCTGTACTACTTGTCATTGAATACCACATTCAACAATACTTTGTTGTACTAGCAATGGCTTTGTAGAGCTGAACTGCAACATTAGGGTAGATGTTATCTGATACCAGGTTTCTGTTTGTCACCATACACAAATATAACTCAAAATGAATCAAAGATCTAAATATAAGACCTGAAGAAGTCCATTACATGGAAGAAATGATAGATACCATACATTTGGATCTTGGTCTTATAGAGGACCTTATGAATTTGATCTCAAAGGCAAGGGAAGTAAAAGCAAAACTAAATGAATGAGACTACAAAAAATTGAAAACCTTCTGCACAGCAAGAAACACTGTAAATAAAATAAAAATGCAACCAACCAAATGGGAGAAGGTATTTGCAAACAACTTTTCCAGTAAGAGGTTAAAATTCAAAATATATAAAGAACACAGGCAATCAACAAAAAAAAATCAACTAAGAAAATGGGCAGAGACCTGAAAAGACACTTTTCCAAGAAACATACAAATGGTGAACAGATACATGAAAAGTGACACAACTTCACTAGCTGTAAGAGAAACGTAAATCAAAACTGTGATGAGGTACTCTTTTGTAGCTGTTAGCAGAGAGCAATAACAAGTGTTGAAGATAGTTTCCAGAGAAGATGACATTTGGGAGACAGGGTGCAAAATGTGAAGGGATTAAAAGTACAAATTGGTATTTATAAAATAGTCACTAGAATGTGAAGTACAGCATGTGAAGTAATATAGTAAAATATATTGTAATAACTATGTATGATGCCAGGTGGGTACTGAAAATATCAGGGGACACATTTGTAAAGTGTGTGGTTGTGTAATCACTATGCTGTACACCTGAAATTAACATAAATTAATACTGAAAAATAAAATAAAAAAAGAGATAGTTAAATCTTGAAAAAGTTTGGTTGGGTGACACTCTCTGCTGGTACACAGAGAAGGCTGATGTGACCCACAGCAACTGGCTGCACCAGGAAACCCTGTTTCCTGTTCTGGGGCAGCAGCAGCACACAGCCCAGCATTTCTTCTCTTCCTGTTAGATTCAGGTTACCTTGCAGGGCCCTGAAACCGAAGAAGAACAAGATATTTTTCACCTGTTGGAAGAACTTGAAAATGCTGCTCTCCAGCCTTCTGGAGGTGGTCTTGGCTGCAATATGGCTAGGTAGGCATGCCCAATGGGAATAGGTCTCCTCTGTGACCTAAGGGCTGGGGGGTCCAGGCAGTATTTTATAAGTTCCCCTGGAAGGAGATGTAGCAGTATGGGAAAAAGAACTTTTTCCCATATCACTTATCCCCAAACCTTCTGATTTTTTCCCCTTCAGGATCCAGTATTGCCCAGAAGGTAACTCAAGACCAACCAGCAATGTCAGTGCAGGAGAAAGAGGCTGTGACCCTGGACTGCTCATATGAAACCAGTGCTGCAACTTACAGCCTTTTCTGGTACAAACAGCAAAGCAATGGGGCAATGATTTTTCTTATTCGTCAGGACTCCTATAACCAGAAAAATGCCACAGAAGGTCGCTACTCACTGATGTTTCAGAAAGGAAGCCATTCTATCAACCTTGTCATCTCACCTTCACAGCTGGAGGACTCTGCAGTGTATTTCTGTGCCCTGGATGAGCCCACAGTGAGAGGTGTGTAGGAAGGAGGTGAACCAAAACCCCAGAACTCTGCTTGATGCATCCACCTGCTGTAGGGACCAAGGCCAGGAATTGTCAGGACAGTCAGGAAGTGGCCAGGGCTGTGGTAGCACAGATGTAGGATGATTGAGGGAAAGCACTCTATGAAAATACCTCTCTAGGTCCTTAGATCATGTGTACAATTGTTGTTAATCAAAAAATCTATATGTTTGGAAATTTAGGTTCAAATTATTTATTAAAGACCAAGAACAACCAAAAGAAACAATTTGCTGTTTGGTGAGACACTGAGCTAGGAGAATTAACCAAGGAAATTCAGAAACATCTGAATCTAAAGATAGGAAAAGCCTGTGGTATTATAAGGTTTTCAGATCAATTTGTTCAATAAATATTTATTGAGTATATTTTATGACACAGGCACTGTTGGAAGAGGAAGGCTGTGAAATCTTTCTGTGGCTTTACTGTTTTTGTATGTTATGCTCTTTTATACTGTTTAATGAGTTAGTTTAATTTGGATTTGTTAGCTGAGTTAAGGTACCCTCCTTGAATTTCTAAGGTGCCTACAATATGACAAACTTTGTGTTTTTACCATCTTACTAACACACTAGCATGGAAGAGACTATTTCCTTTATGTAGATTTACCTGCAGTAAATCCCACCAGTCTCACCCATAAATGAGCAATAATTGGTGGCTCTAGGGGGACATTGTGAAGAAGCAAAGTGTGAACTATCTTTTTGTACAATTGCTCTTCAATTCACTACTCTTCTAGAAGCATTTTTTTGCCATTCTGTGGCTCATTTCACAGTGCCATGCCCTCTTTTTTCTCTTTTTTCAATGTTCCACAATCTAAAACCCTTATTTTCTAATATTTCCTCCACTTACCTGGAACCTCATTGTCTCAGTGCCTTAAAATTTGAATGATCATGGATGTTTAATAAATGATCTTATATTGTAAACTCCATCTTATAATTGAGTTGGGAAACCAGATGTGCATAGTAAAAATATGAAAAGGAGTCTTTTAACATTTTTAATATTCTTATACTTTTACCATTTTATCATAAATTTTTACCATGTTAGGTGTACAACTGAGTGATATTAAGGACATTTACACCTAATGAACTCTGATGACCTTAAAGAACTGAAAAGTTGTGCTCTGTTAACAATAACATTCCCTTCGCCCACCCCTCTAGCCTCTGGAAAATACCATTTGAGTTCTCATTCTAGGAGTTTGACTGTTTTAGATACCTCATAAAGTGGGATGCAGCAATATTGGTCACATGGTAACTTATTTCAGCTAGTGTAGTATCCTGCTGGTTCACCCATGTTGTAGCCTTTGTCAGAATTTCTTTCTTTTTAAATTAAATAATATTCCAGTGTATGTATACACTGCAGTTTGTTTATCCATTGATCTGCTGATGGGCATTTGTGTTGCTTCCACATTTTCCTGGAAAAATGTATGTAAATATTTCAATATTTTGGATGTACGATGTGTCTGGAAAAAGGCCAGCCAGTGTTAATATACTGAAGGTGGTTTGTGTGACATTGATATAATCTGGCAACTAAGGAGAGTGGACTGGCATGAGCATGTGTGAACAATGATGACTTTACTGTACTAGTCAGTGTGTGTGTGGGGTAGATGCTGTTGAGTGAGCATGTGTACTGTGTGGCTGTCACATTCAAAATGATTGAGCACAATAAATCTGCACCATATTTTGCCTTGATCTTAAACATTTTCCCATGGAAACTATTTGGGTGGTTCAGAAGGGCACAGCTCTGGGGAACTGGTGATTGGCAGCTTCATCACAACCATGTGCCACCTCATGCATCACATCTGGTGCAGAGTTTTTATGTGAGACATTAAATCACCCAGGTGATTTAGCCACCCCTACACCTCAGATTTGGTGCCCTGTGGCTTCTGGCTTTTCCCAAAACTGAAATCACCTTTGAAAGGGAAGAGATTTCAGACTGTTGGTGAAATTCAGGAATCTATGATGGGGCAGCTGATGGTAATTCGGAGAACTGTGTGAGGTCCTAAGGTAGCTACTTTGAAGAGGACTGAGGTATCATTGTCTTAAGTACAATGTTTCTGGTATCTTGTATCTTTTTCAATAAATGTCTCTATTTTTCATATTTCTTGGCTGGATACATTCTGGAAAGACTTCCTAACCTCTAATTGTTTCCACTTTTTGGGCTATGCTCTCAGAAGAATTGTTTCATCATAAGGAAATTCTTTAAAAAATGCTTTGAAAACCACTTATACTGATTAATTTGAAAACTGTGGTGTAAGCTGCATTATCACCAGCAAGTTTTAAGGGCAGAGAAAGAACGTGATCACCAGCCATGGGTGAAGTTTCAGTTTCCTGGTGAGTCACAGAAGTCTGGAAGAGTTCGTCACCCTTGCTGCAATGCATTCTTCAAGTCACATGTCTAATAATTAGTCTAAAAGGAATGGCCAAGGCACTACCTAGTGGTCTGCTTCTGAAATGTAGCTTGTGTACTTCATGTTTCCCTCTCTCTCTCTTTGAAAAAGTGAAACCTGCAATTATTTATTTTCATTAGTTCCATTTGCATAAATAAAGAACCTGCTGACATGGAGTCTTGAAATATTTCAAAGGCTCAAGAAGTAATTTTGCTACCTTCTAATCTTTCTCTCAAATTTTCTCTGAAAATAATCAGCAGTGAAAAAATCAAGGAGCAGAAATTTACTGTGACAGAGAACTGTGGTAAAAACTGTTAGCTATGCCATTTGCTTTCTAGGCACTTGTGAGCTCTGTTTCATTGTGTGTTAACTGAAAGAGTAATATCTTCTTTAATATTTGATTGTGACAGTTTATTAATAATATATTCAGAGAAATTGATAATCAGCAGATGGTGAATTAATTCCAGTAACCTCAGCAGGTACAGAAAAAGCATTTGAGAAACCCAGTCTCCATTCCTCATTACAAACTCCCAGCAAATTCAGAATCAAAGGCAATTTCTCCAACTTCATGAAAGGCCTCTACAAAACCCTGCATCTAATGTCATGTTTGGTGGTGAAAGACTGAATGCTTTCCCCCTAAGATCAGGAATTTTGTCTCTCACCTCTGTATTTAGTATTGCAGTAGAGGTTCTGGCAGTGCAGTAAGGCAAGAGAAAGAAACAAAAGCATGCAGTTCAGAAAGGGAGACATAAACCTATCTTAATCCACAGACATTGTGATCATCTAGTAGAAAACCTAAGGGTATGTACAAAAGTGCTACTGGAACAAGTAATTAATTTTAACAAGTCAGTTGTAAACCTATCTTTAATCTAGCCATTCTACTCTTGGGTATTGACCAAAGAGAAATGAAAGTATATGTGTTTAAAACATCTTAAACACATATGTTCATAGCAGCTTTGTTTGTAACAGTCCAAAACTGGTACCAAAAATAATGTACATCAACAAGTGAATAGATAAATAAATCATTTTTGTCTCTCTATGATGAAATAGGACTCAGGAACAAAAGAGAATGAACTATTGACACTTATGAGACCATGCTAGAATTTCAAAATAATTATGCGGAGAGAAAGAGTCCAGACAAAAGAGAAGATATGACTCCACTTATGTAAAATCATAAAATTTGCAAATGAATTTGTGACAAAGACATTGCCAGAAAGCAGAAAAGGTTGTGGGGAGATGTTGAGGGGAGGGTTCCAGAGAGACAGGGGGAAGCTTCAGGGGTGATGCCTGTATTCATTATCTTGGTTGTGGTGATGGCTTCACAAGTATATAAATATATCTGATCCCTTAAGAATTGCTTACTACAAATAGGTGCATGAAAATTATGGATTTACAAAACCACAAAAATTAAAATTTAAGTTAAACATATTTTTCCTTCATGCTCTGCAGGTTTTCTTGTGTGACACAAAATGCAGAACATTTCTTCTTTTAGTTCTCGTTGGCTTTAATTATGTGTTTCTTAAAGTGTACATGTTACAGAACAGCCCCGGGGGTGGGGGTGAATGATACACTATTATGGAATGGACTCTCGTGCTCCGGACCCCCCACCCTGTAGTAGGTTCGCCTTGTCTGCTGCCAGGGAAAGATGTCTCTCTGCCTGAAATTGGTGAAAAGGAAAAGGATTATTTATTTAAGAGTTATACAAACTGAAGAGTAATGATTTAATGTCTTCATTGAGATCCCAAAGTCCTTTAGAATATCCACAAATGCACAGTCCTTCCTTTCCTCTCTGCCCAGTCTGGAGTACTGTATCTCAGACAAAAAAACAGCAGTCAGTGGTTCTTCTCTGCCCAAGCTGCATGGTCCCAAAAGACCTCCTGGATGGTTTAAATCTCAGCACCAGTCTTCCTCTGCCATAGCATTTCAGGCTCCTCTTATAATTGGACACAATTGCCAGCATTTTCTCATCTTTTCTGGGCTGCCATAGTAAGTCTAGGCAGGTGTAGCCCTGCGACGTGGAGCTAACCATCTCCAAGCTCTTACACAGGCTCTGTAAGCAGGCGGAGTTGCCTCCCACTTACATTCTGCATTGAAGTCATTCCCAAAAGCCCTGGCTCAAAGCATGGCCACAGCTGTTTAACATAACTATGAAACCAGTTAAAGGTTATAGATATATTAAAGGACCATTCTAGAGGTTATCTGCAAAACAGTTGCTATTAAAAACAACTCTCAATGGCCCTGCTCCATGTGTCTCTGTTCCCAGCTCAGAGTTGTGGGGTTGAGGACATCCTATGTATATATTTTTTCTAATATTTCCTGGATCTTGAGTTCTGGACCCCATTCCAAATCCTCATTTGGGGCTCCCTCTTGGCTGTACCCTGCTACATATGTAACAACTCTGTATACCCATGTGCTGCTTTGTTTACTTTCAACCCAACTTTATCCCAGCTTATTTTGTTTTCCCCTTGTAGATCAGAATAAAAGTCCATAGCTGCTTTTTCAGAATTCCTTTCTAGCATAGTTTTGTGGCAGGTTCTGAGAACGTACCTTGGGAGGTGGAGGAGAAGTGAAGCATATGAACCTGGATTTCCTATGTCCACTTCCGGCAGACTATTCACAGGTTGACTCAAGGACTCCAGAAGCCCCTTGATCTGAATCTGTGTAGTGAGAACTGCAGGAACCTGCCTGAACTAAGCGTCCATCTCTGTGTCTGTGGATAAATGTTTACAGAAAAATGTGTCCTTCTCCAGATCTTTATCCTGATAATTCTCAGCGGTTTTTGGTTTGGTTTTATAAAATGAATGGCCATAAAAAGAAAACCAAAGAAGTGCTTGCTTTTGCTGTTGACACTTCATACAAAAAGACTAGTTTCTAAAAATTTGTGTTGCCATAGGGACACTTCCCCATGCACATCCCAGAACTTTCTCCCTCATCTTTGAGGATCACCTTTGTCTAGGCCAGTTACCACAAATGAAATCTTGAAAATGGGTATCAGACTCGCAGTAACAAACCCACCTGGGGGAACTATAAAATTTTCATATCAATGGGTCTCAATCCTAGAAAGTATGTTTCTTCATGCTCGCTTCAGCAGCACATATACTAAAATTGGAACGATACAGAGAAGATTAGCATGGCCCCTGCGCAAGGATGACACGCAAATTCGTGAAGCGTTCCATATTTTTTTTTTCAGGGGACATTGGGAAGGGTTCACGGGAACAAACTTAAAGGACACATGGACAAAAACTAGGGGGAGGGTGATAATGGGAGGGAAGTGGGGAGGGTTGGGACTGGGGGCTGGACTGGGAGTAAAAGGGAGAAAACTGTATTTGAACAATGATTAAAATAAAATTTAAAAAAAGAAAGAAAATATGTTTCTTCAAATTGATGTTGGGATCCCAGAATCTATAACTTTTAATCATTCACTGCTATCAGCTATTGTATGAATAATAGCTGGTGTGTCTTTAACAATTTGATAGGTGATAAGGAGGAGAGTTCTAATGGATGCTCCAGGCTTTTCATGCATTTGCACATCTCCAGGGCTCTCTACTCTGTGGGGGGGAATTATGTCATTAAAGTTTGGTCAGAGAATGTGACAGACACATGGTAGTAGAAAGCATTTTTTATACTAAATCTGCATTAAAGCTATAGGCTTAATATTCCTTGCTTGACTCACATTGGTTAGCTATCTTACCTTGGAAGGAAGAATATAGTTGGAGATTAAGATATTGATCTAAGAACATTCTTTATTGATTTAGTACTTTCATTGATGATTTTTTTCCTGAAAAACATTATTAAAGAGATAACAGTTCTTACATTCGATAATATTTGAAGACTGAGAAAATATGGTATGTCATGTGGTAGTGAAGCCTCAATGAAAGAATGTTTATTTCTGTTTAATATAACAAATATTTACTAGGCATGTAAGAAATGTCAGTCACTGTTCTGTATTGGATACAATGCTGAAAAGTTAAGAATTACTCCATCAGAAAAACTAGACTTCTTATCATTTCCGCTGATTTTAGCCCCAAATCATTTTCTGACATTCAATGGATTATGGGCAGGCCCCCAGAGGGTACATGAGAATATAACATACTGTATTAAAATGCTCAAGAAAATCAATGTCTTCTAACTACAGGTATATCTTGCATGCTCTGTTAAAGTACTTCAGTGTCAGGTATTGTTGTAAGGAAAAAAAAACAACCTGAGAGCTTAGGATGCCATTGTCAGATTTTTAAGCATCACCTGAAGAGGGACATGTGCCTCATGAACAAGTCAGTGATGAGAACAAGTCAGTGATGAGAAATTTCCAATCTTTAAGCACTTTAATGGAGTTGTTAGGCAAATTAGACTTCCATACTATGGGGATATTGAAGACAAAGGAATGTTTTCATTTGGGGAGGAAGCTGAGAAACATGCATCTCTTTTCAGTCCCTGTCCACCAGG